TCCAGAAGTCCGGAAATTCTAGGAAGTCATCACTTCTAATTTTTGAATGTGTTCCTTCCAGTAGCTTGCTATGATGCTAAATCTGGGAATATGACCTAGAAGTAAATGAATTAAAACAACCTAACGATATTTACTACTGATCGAAATATTTAACTGTCCAATTGACTACGTTTAACTACTTATAGGTATTGAATCAATTGATGTAGTGTTTAGTGTCCACGTCTACACGTGATCAGTGCTCAAGTGCCTGTAACATCAAATATTGATTAAATCTTATTTGCAAGACTGCACAAATAGTGAAGAGGAGAAGAATAACTGAAAGCGTGCCTTCTAATCCATTAAACTCCAAAAGGCCCTTTCTCTAGCGGTCATGGATTTCGGAACTTCATGATGACCACCTAATTCCACCGTTGTTTACATTTCCCATAAAGAGTTTAGGGAATTTGTACTTTCTTATGCACATCCCATGATGTAAAGTGCCTCTGACATCGCCCAATTTCGGTCCGCAAGGGGGGAACTAATCATAGGATACGGGGAGGGGGGGGGGGTTCTGATATTGTTTCGTATCATCTCAAGTCAGTTGTTACTAAAACTTGCTAATGGTCGTGAGAACATATTGACATTAATGCAGAGTTTGGATTCATTAATGTCCTTCGTATTGTTTCGAAGAATTCTCTTGTATTGTATCTTTTGTATGTATTTCACATCTTTTTTCCCTTTTCACTGTTGTTTTATAGTTGCAATGAGAATGTCATCATAAGTATTTGTATCATCAAAGCCTTGCACTTAAATTAAATTAGGCAAGCGGTAAATAATTCTGATACCTTCGTTAGTATTCTACGTGTTCAAGATGGAAGTGATTGGGAAATGGAAATGAAATGGAGGTGTAGTTATCTATGCTGTTGGCAAACAAGATGATACGAAAATTCCAAATTTTCCTTATTCTATTTTAGACATGGATATTGACTGGTGACAAAGAGGAGACAGCTATGAACGTCAGTTTTCTCTCCGGCCACTTTGCGCCCGGTCTTAACGCTATTCGAGTAACCAAAAAGACCAACTTTCTTGAATGTTCTGCAGCTCTGGACAATGAATTAAATAATCTCAAATTGAAATCCCAGGACCATGACAAAGTGAAATACGGTTTAGTCATTGATGGACAAACACTGAATTTTGCCTTAAGTGTATGAAGCCTTGGTTGCAAAGCCCAATTTTATTCCAGTAAATAAAGTTTACGTCTTCTCAATTTTTTTCAGGCAAATCAAAGAGAAAGGTTACTCGAACTCTGCGGATATTCTGAAGCTGTGCTATGTTGCCGTCTGACCCCAGTTCAAAAAGCCGAAGTTGTTCGCCTGGTTAAACAATCCCGTTCTCCAGCCCCTATCACTTGCGCTATTGGGGATGGTGCTAATGATGTCCCAATGTTAATGGAAGCTCACGTTGGAATCGGTTTATTTGGAAAGGAAGGAAGACAAGCTGTTCATGCTTCTGATTACGCTTTTGGAAAATTCAGGTTTCTCAGTCGAGCTCTTTTCTTTCACGGTTTTAACTTTTACTGGCGATCAGCGAATGTAGTATTGTATTTTTTCTATAAGAATCTTGTCTTCGTGCTCACTCAAGCTTACTTCAGTTTCTATTCCCAATTTTCTACTCAAACAGTATTCAGTAGCATATATTTACTTTGTTACAATGTGATTATGACATCTTCACCGATCGTTGTCTACGGAATTATGGAAATGCGTTATCCCGAAACAGTTCTTTTGAGTACCCCTATGATTTACAAAGCAATCTCACGAAATGCCTTTCTTTCTTGGAAAAATTTTGCTCTCTGGAATACTTTCGGCTTGTGGCATTCAATAGTTCTCTTCTATGGATGTTATATTCTTGCTAGTGAAGGCGTTTCAAAACCCGGAGGCGCTTTAGAGACGCTAAACGGGTTCGGAAGCATGCTTTTTAGCCTTATTTTTATTGTGGTCACAGTCAAGTTGCTTCTGAATTCGTATTCCTTCAACTTTATGGTATTCTTTACAATTATCGTAACTGTGATAACTACCTACCTCCTATTTACCTTTATTAACTTTGTTGTCATACCAACGGGTGATGCCCAGGACTTGAAAGGAATTTGGAGCAATCTGTTTTGTGGATCAAGTGCTATGGCCAGCCTATTTGGGCATATTGCTATTCCAATATTAGCCATTGTGCCCGATGTCATCTATAGATGGCTATTGGATAATTATGATATTGTCCATGATTCTGGATGTTACTCTGGAAAAAAGAAATCAGTCAATCCAAAAAATGAATTGACATTAAGGTCTTTGCTTTCCAAATCCTCTTCCACAGACAACGAAGTGGAGTTCAATACTTCGCAAACACTTTGATATTTATTTCTGTGAATTTTTTAATTTTTCCTATGTATTGAGTAAAATTACAAAACGAGAAAGTCCATATTTTAATGCGTATTTATGCAACTATTTCACTGGCATTAAAATTCTAAGGGGGTCCTAAGAAAATTAACCTCTTTTGACTATACACAGAACAAAGCTTCGGCCTAAAGGAAAGGACGCCAATAAGGAACTTTATATTTATTTGTACCAGATTCTTATTGATCTTAATTATTCCCTGGGAACAATCGAAAATTCGATATATATTTAATTACAATTTACTTTTAGATACACCAGATTTACCAGCAAGAATTAGACATCCAGGTCGGCAAAGGTATGATTAGAATCATAAATGGACTTTATTTACATAATCCACTGGATATTCCAAAGGCTATATGATCTACGTCAGATTGAAATAAAGTTCTATTGTATGTGCATCGGCCACATATTAATGCATTTGTGTGTCTAACTGATCAGAAATCGATGGTATTTATCGAGGGCAAAGAAAGATTGAATAGAATAACCAATCGCACTAATAGTATTGGCTAGAAGCATGTAAGCAGGATAGCATTCATTCGCATCGATGAATATCCGGGATAACGTCCATCTGATCAAGGTGACTGTTATGATGGCCTTTCTTAATGTAAGGAGGAAATACTTAATTTCGCTGTTTCTTAAATAAAATTTTAATAAAGCTGAAGTTAAGTAAACAAGAGGATTGTTAGTATCACAGAACTCCTGATCAGAAACTTTTTTTAAAGGGGACCTACTAGAACGTGACAAAATATGAACCCATTATGAATGTTTAAAACTAGTTTCTCGAGGACAAAATCAATAAGGAATCGCTGAAATATGAAAATATGGCGCAATAAGCCTATTTAGATAGTCCCTAGCGGGTTATACAATAACATACAAGGAAAATGTATTTTGAATGTCGTTTGGTTTATGTTATTTTTAAAATTTAAAATTTATTTATTAATAGAATTATGCAAAACTATCCAAGCATAACAATAGTCAACCATATATTTGCATGACTATCGCCTAATTTTGAAATAAAATTATTCACCTTTGAGTGTGAAGAAGCTCTACATTTTTTAGCGGTTGAAAATAAATTATTTAACTCAAATATTTATTTAATTCATAAAATGTAGTTTATTTGACCGAAACAGTAGGAAAATAGAATAGAACAGAAGCTCGTAGGTTTGAACTGAGCAAATACAGAAGATAAATATGCTGAGAGGTTTGAAGTGAGTGGAGTTTTAGGGGAAAACGTTTAATATACAGTTGATCAAACTTTGAGAGTTGGAGTATCACCAATAATTGACAGTTTGTGGGATATTTAAACGAGGACAAATGGTTGGCGGCTTGATCACTAAAACGAATATATGTTTACCGTGTTTAGTTAAATTAAGGCAAATAACTATTTGAGTTATGAACTATTTTAGTTTAGGCTAAATTGGGTAGGATCCAACTAATCAGTAGGGAAGTGATTTCCATAATCTTAATCTGATCAACCAGTTACCATTTATTAACTACTCACAAGGATTTAATTAATTAATTAATTCAATTACAGAGGCTAACTTAAGCCGCTTGCATATTGGCACATGAATACGTGCGTGCCCTTGTCTAACCAATCTTCCCAGAGATATATCATCGGAATTTTATGCGAACATTTGGATGTAATTGTATCATTAAAGATTGTCCCCTAAATACTAACAAATCGAGTAAGATTCTATTTTTTTCGATAAATTAAAATGAATTTTGATATCAATGAGAGTCATCAACTGTCGATTTGTTCTGATAAAAAATAAAAGATAAAGCTCAATAAATTCCTTAACTATATAAATGGTCCTATCAAATAATCCAAGAAATAATTTTCAGGTGGTTGTATATCCAAATAAACATTTACTTAACAACTGTATAAACAATGAAAATCACGGGATAAAGGTAATTTAAAAATTAAATGACGTAGTGAAATAAGTTTAAGTAAATGATTAAATGTTTTCGAAATTCTAACGAGATAAGACCTACGGAAACATGATTAATATCCACTTTTACTCATACCGCATCTCGCTCTCATTTCTTAATGAACTATCTTATTATTTCTTTTGTTAAAGTGTTTCAATACAACAAATTCTCACAAAAGTATTGTTGATAGGAGTAAAGCTTACCTATTGTTTTCCGGCATCAGGTGTTCTCAGCTAAAAGTAATGAACATTATCCTACTTAATAAAATGTAGAAGTAAGGCAGAACAAGCAAGCTATTTGAGCATTATGTTAATTCAGGTTAAAAAACTCAATTAAGGCTAAAATGCCGTTATTTTAATTCCATTTGATGAATATACACCCATACCAGGTGTTCTTATAAAACTTTAAAAATCTAAAGTCGTGTTGACGAGACTAGAAACAATACATTGTTTATTTTTCCTAGTGTTGCGTGGGAAGCCAAGAGAGATTTCTAAGAATCGCAACGGCTTAAATTGTCTGCTTTCTTATTGTTTACAAAGCAAATATAATCTGTGGTTTTCTTACCGACGGCAACGAGAGAAGACAGCTCTCAATTTCAACTGTCATATTTAAGTTATCATCGTAGACTTTAGTCACTACCCTTTATTCCAATCGCAAAATCTAAATAAATTTGTTCACTGCTCCTAATTAATAAACATAATTCAATTAGTACATAAACTCTCGCCCCAAATTTTTGAAACCCAGTTCTAAATAGGCTAACACACTCACCATCAGCTACGTAGGTTATTATTTAGCTCTCATATAGAGCTTATTAAGAAGAGCGTCGAGCGATTTCCCGATAGTTTACTAAAGATTTTTATTAGTATTAATTTAAAACGAAATTTATTACGAACATGATTACACATATCAGTTGAAGGCTATGTTTCACTGGTCAGTATGATTACCCATTTACCCCAATGCTACATATTTATACACCAAAAGCTGTCATATTTCTTTCCAGGCGAGAAATGCTTCTATTTCATTACGTCATTTTATCGAAAATTGAGACTGTGTGTAAGTTCCGTCCTAAGTCACTATTTACTTTTAGTTCATTTATCCAATATTATGAGTGTTATTTATTCCTATTCATCATTTATTTGAACAGCTAAAGCCTATCTATCGGCGTCTAGGCTTTAACTGATGATAATACTCCCTGCATATCATACCCGCTCGCATTCATTCCCGCAAACTTCAACATTACTGTGAGTTATACCAATCTCCAGACCATTCCTGTTGGTATTCAATTCTCTGGTTTCTTCGTTCCTCCTGTTTTGATTCGTGCGAGTTCCGGCGTTAGTGAGTTTTTAGTTAGTTCATTTCAAAATTCCTTACCTGACATCACTACCATCTTGATAGTGGACACATTTCAAAACATTACATTAGACGACTCGACAATATAAAATCAATATTTCTCATGGCTATAACTGGCTGGTAGTTTGTTTGTGTTAGGTAAATATAAAATGAATGAACAGTAGCAAAAGTGAGTACAAATTTGTGTAAAATTGTGCCCATGCATACTAATGAACTGCATCCAATATAACCTAACTTTAGTAAACAATTAAACGATAATGTGGATTACTTACAGCTTTTGAACAAATCATTTAATCACTTTCTGGAAGACTCCTGGATCGTCTATCTTTCGGAACATCCATCAGTTGAAAGGGACTACCTTTTTCTTCATCTAAAAATACGAAACAAGTGTGAACGTCAACTAACTGCCCATTTATCCATGTTCACTCATAAGGTAAATGAAAAAATGTCAAGACTTTTTCATTGGAAAATATATATAACGAAAAGACTTGAGTGGTCCCAAAAGCAGTAATTTGATCTATTAGGTTGGCAACTAAGTCATTGTCGATTTCAAAT